TATTCTCTTGCTCCTCTTGCCATTGGCTTTGTCCTTAGTCTTAAATCCTAAGGAATTGTTCCCCTGTACTTTATTTTGCTAACTTGTTCACACAGAGCTAGCTCAGAGTACAGGTCTATAGCAAGGGCTTATCAGGAGATGGATTAGTATGTTCAGGGTTTTTTGTGTATGTTGTCATGTATCTTTTGATAATATTTTCAGGCAATGGAGTTTCTTTCTACTGCCTAATCACGCTCCAAAAGCACTGCCTAAAAAGCCCAAATGCAATGAGCTTTGCAATGAGCTGAAATAGGAATTGGGGGAAGAAGTAAAAGAATGGGATTTCAACTTTATTCTTGGGCTCAGACTTAGATTCAGTCTTTGCTGACCTTTGTTTGTTCATTTGTAAAATAAAAATTAAAGAAGTTTACAGGTCTGTAGGTCAGCTTTATTTTTCATGCCTGCCCCCTTGCAGAGGAGGTTGGTTCAGAGAGAACCAAAGGAAGCTTCTTGTCAGGGGCTGTTTTCTTGAACTGCAGGGCAGCTGTAAGGCAGAGTGCCTTTCCTATCTTCCTCATCTGGCTAAAAGCCGAAAATACTTTAGCAGCTAGGCTGGGACTAGATCTTCCCGTGGGATAGGAATTGCCCTGCCCTATTGGAGAAGCTCATGTTTCCAAGTCAGACAGCAGGGGGCATATGTGCTTTCAGACGTGAGGAAGTTGCTTAAGCCAGAAGGCCTGCCTGCGATAGTTCTTTCTCCTATTGAGGGAATGTAATCAGAAGATAGCTGAAACTGATGCTGTGAGGGTGCCCAGGAAGCCCCCTTGGTATATTGTGCTGCCCTATAGCTGAGATATATATTGTGCTTTGAGAGCAGGTCGCAAAATGCTGTCCTCTGGGACATGCAGGTTTTTCAAGCAAACATGAGCCTTCATCAATGCCTTAACCCACAAGCTCAGCCTCCTCTTACCAACCTGTGCCTTCCTGCAGTTCTAGTAAACAGTGCCAAGTGAATGTAATTGTTGTCTGACTGTTCTGGGGGCTCAGTGGCAACTGCTGCTTTCTTCATTTTTAAAAATGTATTTGCCACTCAGTGAAAGCCACTGAGATGGGTTTTTTTTTCCAGCGTTGGGCTAGTTGGAGCTTTGGAATCTGGAGATAGTGAGGTCATCTGAACTTCATTGCCTTCTTGTGAAGCTAGCAGTAAGCTTTGGCCAGTCACTCACCTATATCTAGGCCTGTGTCTGGGGATAAAGCCATCCTAACCTATACATAGGAAATGATAGAAGGGCCTAATCTATTCAGTCTGTGTGCAGTATTTCCTCTGTCCACAGGGCCATTTGGCCCAGGCTTAGGACAAGCGGGCCTGCCTTTACAGCAGCTGCCTCAGCCCTGATCAAGGGCAATTGTTTGACTCAAGGTGAGTAGTGATTGTAAAGCTCTATTCCCCTACCCCTGACCCTTTTTTTTTTTCTTTTCTTTTCTTTTCTTTTCTTCTGACTAGGTAAACTGTCTTGAGCCCCACCCTCACCTTCCTGTGCTGGCTACCAGTGGCCTAGATCATGATGTGAAGATCTGGGCACCCACCGCTGAAGCCTCCACTGAGCTGACAGGGTTAAAGGATGTAAGTGGTGGATTACAAATGCTCTTTTCTTCCTGCTTACCCACATACAGTTACTCTTCATGGTCATGGGAAGGAATAGCTCGGCTCCCAGTTGTTTAAAGGCATTGCTCTAACATCCTCCCCTACATTCCTGTCATTGCATCTGTAAGAATGCTCCTGCTCCAGGGGGCAGCTCTGCAGTGCCTCTGGTTGGCAGTAGGAATGGGGGTAGGGAACCTCTTCTGGAAGAATTACTCAATTTTAAGGCTTTACCTCAGTAGCTGAACTGAGGGCATCCTTTCCTAATCTAATCTAGCTCAAGCTCAGCTTAATGACACCTCAGGGAAACTTTTAAAGGAATAGACCATCAGCTTCCTTAATCAAGTCCAGGGTTCCTGTTCATTGTTGGTTCCTTCCCCTAACCCATTTGGGTCTAGGTGATTAAGAAGAACAAGCGAGAGCGGGATGAAGATAGCTTGCACCACACTGACTTGTTCGATAGCCACATGCTCTGGTTCCTCATGCATCACCTGAGACAGAGACGTCATCACCGGGTAAGCCGGGGTTGGAAGTGAGCTCCTAAGGCAGTTGCCTTCTCAAGAGACCTAAAAAGTGCCAGTACACACCTCCTCACCACTTAAAGGAGGAATCAGGTGGTCTTAGTTAGGTTCCCTATCCATTGTCCCTATCCCCATCAGATCCCTAATAGAGCCTTCAAGGAGCCACAGCGGAAAGGGGTGGAGTCTGCTCATATTCTTCATTGCCATACATGCATAGTGCTGTATGCATAAAGGCAAAGTCAGGAGGGTGGGAGGGGAGTTGAGAAGAAATAAATTTCAGAGTGACCCTTCTTTTTTTCATACCATGCCAGAAGAGGCCTTGGGCAGTGGTCAACATGTTGGTGGTTGGCCTGCTGGTTTTGTAAATAAAATTTTATTGGAATGTAGCCACACTCATTGTATGTATACCTGTGGCTGCTTTCACAGCACAGTGGCAGAGTTGAATAGTTGAAACAGAGAATATATGTCCTAGAAATCTAAAATATTTATTTTCTTGCCCTTTAAGAAAAATTCTGCTGAGCCCTGGCCTAGGTAAGATCTGATAGGCTTGTGCTTATTCCATCCAGAGGTGTTACTAACAAGCCTTTCCCATCCCACAGCGCTGGCGAGAACCTGGGGTTGGGGCCACAGACGCGGACTCTGATGAGTCTCCCAGCTCCTCAGACACATCGGACGAGGAGGAGGGCCCCGACCGGGTGCAGTGTATGCCATCCTGAGGCCTCATTCCTAGGAGGGGTGGGCTGGGACTGCCAACCCAAACCTGCCTGGACAACCCTTTCCTGTCCCAGGCCCCTACCTTCAGCAGAAGCGCACTTTGGACTTTTTGCTTTAGAAAAAAGAAAGACATCCCAGGAAAAGGTCAAACCAGAGGGGAATGAACCAACAGAGAACTTAGAAATGGGAGTTGAGCCCTGGAATGGAGTTTCATGGAAAGGTGCATAGGACTCAGCAGAAATGGCCTCTACCCAGAGCCTTTTTTGAGGGGTGGGGGGGTTGGGGGTCCTATTTTGTTAACTGGTTTAGGATAGGGAAATGGGACTTTGTCTTTAATCTCCCTTGTTTCTTGGGCAGGGGGTGGGGGGAAACAACTGGCTATTCAGTCCCAAGGGGTCAGAGTGGGCGGCAGGAGCACCACTCTCTCTTTGGGTTAGGTTTTTGACCTTTTTTCCTTTGTTTTTAAAACGTCTGTAACAGTTTGTTTCTTTCCCCCTGGGCAATCCCATCCCAGGTTCCTGTTTTTCAAGGAAGTCCTAGAGCCCCTAACCATCCCACTCTTCACTTTCCACACTTCATTCATTTTCTGTACTTACCACAGTGTTTTGCACTTGATTATGTATCCTTCACTCTCTTCTCTTCATCCCATCACCCCCTAAATAGATCTAGTGAGGGAGGTTGGGGAGAGGTGGGAGGACGGGCCAGTGGTGGAGGACAACTAGGAAGGATGTTACCTCTTCTGTTATTTTGTTTTTTAAGTTGTTTGGTGGCAGCAGTCTCCCTGTCCCTATCACTGTTAGAGGCCTACTTTTCTATCTATAAATATATTAAAAAGCAAGTCAAACTTGGATGTATCAAGTTAACATTATTGTCAAAGTTTAAATACCTATATATTCTTTATGAATGCAATAAAGGGACTTAAAGGAAGAGTGAGCGAGAGTAATGATGTGGAGGTGACACATGGGGTCAGCTTACCCTAATATATGGCCATTAGAGCTTGGGGCTTGCCCCTTATGTTTTAGGAGGCTCAAAGATGGAAGGATCCTCAGTTCTGCCCTTCCCTGCTTACCTGCCTTGTGGTAAGGGTTGGGAAAAAAACAGTAAATTCCTCCCAACTCTTTGCCTCAGATCTCCTACCTCTCTAAGTCTCTTGGGGGTTCCCAGGATGGCTCTTCTAACCAGAGGCTGGCCTGTCTTTAAAACTTGACTGAACTATGACTTCAGGAAGGGCACCGCCACTGCAGACTCTGTCCTGAGACCACATATCTCTCACACACACACACACACACACACACACACACACACACTTTCCTATAGCTGCTTGATTCTTTAAGCCATTCAATTAGAACCGGCTCCCCCCCTAATGGAACAGTGAAGGGAAAGATTTCCTGGGTTTGACTTTATACCTTGTCCACCTCTTGATATCTTGGGAATGAGGGGAAAGTCAGTTAATCTAAGGATTGATAGTGGTGGCTAGGGCTTAGACACTTGTGTTATCACTGGTCACTGAGTATGAAAGTCCCAGTAGAATTCTTGGCCCTTTAAATGCTTTTGCTGCTATTTCTTTGCCCCCAGTTTCCACAAGATTCCATGAGGAACTCTACATCCTAGCAGATTCTATTGAACCAGGTCAAGAAGGTGAGGGGATTGAGAGGATCATATTCCCAGAGACTCCTTCCTTCTGCCCCCTTTCCTAGCAGCTCTCAAACTAGATACTAGCTGCTACACTTCCTCCCTGAGACAGGAAATGTGTGGTGACCGAGTGGTCTGTGTTCCTACTGCTAGCAGGGTGGTGGGGTGGGCTGAAAACCATGCACTCTGGAATTTGTTGTATTTTCTCTCAGTAAAGCTTTTTTTTTTCCTGACTGTTTCTCTGTGTGATATGTCCATGAATTCATGGTGGGACTGTTTTTGTTCTTCCCAATGTAGGAACCTGGCCCTGCCTTCTCAGTCTGTCTCCAATTTTATGAAGTCTAATCTGGGGTAACCATGTTTCCAGTGATGGGCACCAACTGGGGCCTTGTTCCATTGATACTTAGGACATGGGGAACAGGGGCAAATATTTGTGAGTATTTCCAGGCCCTTCCCAGTCATTCAAAGACTCCAAAATCCTGACACTCACAGAAATTCTAGAATCAATCAGGTACAGTACAGTCACCTTTATTCCAGGGTTAGAACAAGGCCGTGCACACTGCAGACAGAGGAGCACAGGATAGGGTCAATCTCACAGCAGTACAAAGGGTTGGAGGGCAGGTTAGTCTTTTTAGATTATTTTGCCTTATGGAGAAACTATTAGACTCTGCTAAAAATAACCCTGTCTCCCTTCTCTTGTTTCTTTCATAAGGTAGTCTCCTCTCTCTTTCTCTCTTTCTCTCTTTCTCTCTCACTTTCACTCTCACATAGCATATCCAGAATGAAAGGATAGTTCATGTTCACTTTCCCCCTCTTCAGTTCTACAACTGTCTCTCTCTTCTTAAAGGAGAAGCCAGACAGGGCTGGGGAGACTTCAAAAGAAACTTTAAGGCAAAACCGTGGAGTCCTCAAGGTGTGTGTTAAGGCAGGTGTCCATAGCAGTGGCCAGAGGGGATGGGCAGACTGGGCTGGGCTGGGCTAGTAGTTGAGGATGCTCTGTAACTAGTCTGGCTTCTTCCCTTTTCAACAACCAGCCCAACCCCCACCCAACTGAAGTTTTTCTCCCACATCCTAAAAGCTCTTAACTTCAACTTTCTCCAAATAGCCTCTGAGACTGCTTGTAAGTTTAATGTTTTTTAAAGCAAAAAAGCTTTCTTTTTTGTTTGGACTGTGTAGCCGTTTGACTCTGCCACTCCCTTCACTGTGGCATTCCCCTCCCACCCTTGCTCTGGCCTAGACAATAAGTTAATGCTAGACACCACAAAATAGGGCAGACATGGCAGTGCGGGTTTAATATACATATATGTAGAATATATATGTACACACAGTTAGCACGGTCAGGGTGAGGAAGAGCATCTTGGAACAGGCAGGAGGCTGGGGTCACTCACTGTACTCTAGTGATTCGGCTACAAGGCATCCACAGGCCCAAGGGGCCAGGATATCGAGTGAGAATGGTGATTACCAAGTTCCCTCCTGGATTGAATTGGGTGGGGATCAGTGCAAAGGAAAACACTGTTAACTTTTTTTTCTGGCTTCGGGTGTTCTAGACCAAGTAGAGCAAGGAAAGGTTGCCTGTAATTGTTTGAACCCTGGAAGTGGGGGCAGGATTGGAGTTAAAACCTAAGGATCTCATTCTCCACAACCTCTTCCCTAAGCTCAGGGTCAGTATATCCAACCATCTGAGTAGAAATAAAGGAGTGGACAAGTGGTTCCCTCTCTGCCCCCAGTCCCATCTTAGGCTCAGTGGTGCATGTTCCCAGCAGAGCCTCTCCAGAGCAAAAGTGGGCAGGTGTATCTAACGCCAGCTGCTCGTGGGGTTTGATCCTTGGGACCAGGAAAGGATCTGGTGGTCTTCTCTCATTAGATTCCTGGCTCAGACCCATCTAGGCCCATGGGAAGGATGCCAAAAAAGGACCTGCTGGCACCTAGGCCTGTAGTCTGAGGAACAGCAGAAAGCCAGACTCTTCAGTCTAGCATGGGGATTACAAACACTGAACTCCAGCTTTGCTTTGCCCCTTCCAGAAGGGGGTTGGTGGCCTCTTCACCTTCCTTCCCCACTGCTTTTCCTTAGCTCCACCCACCTCTCATCTCACCCCCACCTCAGCTCCTCAACATAGGAAAATGCAGGTAACTTTCTGCTTCCACAGTTTAAAGATGGGGGGGGGGTGTGAAAGGTAAGGAGGAGGAATGTGCCAATTTCTATTTGCATAGAAATAGCCCCCCTCTCCCTAGAGTGGGGAAACCAAGCCCCACCCCCCCGCAAGCCCCTGACCCCCATCCCCTCACAAGGAGGAGGAACTAGATGAGCTAGACATAAAGACAGACAGCCAGAGCGTGCGCACACGCACACACACGCGCACGGTAAGGGGGTTAAGGACCAGGTTAGTAAGTGGGTAGATGGGGGGGGTTGTCCTTGCCCCCTCCCATGGAGGATGGGGGAAGGGACTGGTCCGATGAAGGTCCAACCTCTTCTTCTTCCTCCCCCTTGCTCAGGCCTTCTTCGGTGGGGGAGCCAATTTGATGATCTCTTCTTCAGAGGGCTGCCGGATAATGTCTGGGGGTGGAAAAAGGATGTGTCCAGGAAGGAAGTTGTAGGAGATTCCAAGCAGGCCCAATGAGCATCAGCCTGCACTCCCAAAATTCACATATTCCAAGGATAACCAATGGAAGGGGGCAGAAGCTCAACTATAAATGGCCTCTTACCTTTGTATTTCTTGGCACTGGGGATACGGGTTAGCTTGGTGTCCAGCTCATCTTCCTCAGAGATCTTCAACACACGGGTTCTGTAGTCAACCACCATAGTGAGTAAGTCAGGACGGCGAGAGATCTCAAAGATGTGCTCAATGTAGGAGAGGTTGTCTGGAGAAAAGCAGAGAATGTGGGTCAGAACAGAGCTACAGAGGTCAGTTTCCCCTTCTCTTCAGAGCAGTGTTCCCGATCCAATGCTCAGTTGCTCAAATTGGTTATCAGAGGGGCAACACTAACAGGAGAGGAACTACTAAGTCAGGGAAAGAAAGGTAAGGTACCCAAATGACAATACAGGGATTTGTTCTAGGCAGGGCAGATAACTGGTCAGTGAAGTTTCCAGATTATGGATTTAGAATGAGGTATTTAGATATCAAGTACCTTACCGGGGAGAGGGGTCGACAGAAAAATTAACATGTGTTCCAATAGCTCACACCCACCCTGTCCTTTTTCTACTTTCCTTCCAAGTAAGTAAGCATCAGGAAGAACTTTGCAACAGCATCTGTGGCCTAGAGGAATAGTGTCCATAGACAACCCAGAGGGATTCTGGGTCTAGTGAGAAAGGTTACTCCAAATGAGAGAAGGCAGATTACTAAAGATGCTCATGTGCCTTCACCCCTCCCTCTGATAACTGCAACAGTCCAGCTGTCATGGGTCCTTGCCTTCCTGCCGGCTATCCACACTACAGGCAGACTAGTATATCTGAAGGGCCCTGAGGTCACTCTCCTATCAACTACCCTGTCATTCAAGGCCCTCCACAATAGTCTTGACTTACCTGTCCAGCCACTTCTAAATATGCTTTTCCAAATGCACCAAAAGCTCTCCCACGTCTGCAACTGTGCTCCTCTGCCTAGCATGTCCTCTTTAGGATCCTGCCTTAGAAATCCCACTTGGCCTTTCACCAATTCCTCTCCAGAGTCCCTCACTGTGTAGGAGTCTAATCCACAGACCTCCCCCTACAGTAGTAGTCTCTAAAAGTGCGTAAGAAAATGTTAGTAATGTGGTTTTCTTTTAGATTTTACTACTTTTCACTTTTATGTTCCATGATATATATGTGATAATAGCCACAGAGTATCTGAATAACATTTTTTCTTACTGACAAGAGGCATAATGAAAAATGTCTAAAGACCACTGCTCTAGAGCCCCTTTTACTGTCTTTGAGCATCTGTTATTCTGCCTTGTCATGAAGTGGTATGCCTTGTGTCGATAACTTTGAGTTCTTCTCTGTATGCTGAATGAATGGAGCCTGACTTGCTGATGACTGGCCCTGTGTGCCCCCCTCCCCCACCTTTGTCCAGCTTGTTGTGACTCTCCAGGAAGCTAAACCAGGCACTGCCAGTAGTGATCTCCTCACTCTTCTCACTGGGGATGTCCTCCTTGCAGGCTGATTTGAGCTGTTCCAGATCTTCAAGGGTGATGTTGTTGGTCAGGTCCTGGAGGAGCGTCCCGTACTCGGCCATGACTGGGGTTGGGAGACAAGAAAGGGAACAGAGGAGGCTGAGCTTAAGGTACAGGGTTTGGTTCACTCCCTTGTACTCCCCACTTTCCAGTAGAGACCAGGCATGTGCCTAGAACAGGAGGTAGAGGGGGAATGGGGCTGGAGGGGAGGTGGTGGGAGTAGCAGGAAGAAACTTAGAAGCTAGGAGCCAGGCTGAAATCTAGAGTGACAAGTCATACCTCTTTTCCTCCACCATCTTTTTCTTCTATTTCCCCCTCTAACAGTAACCCTGGCAACTGCTCCCCTGACTGAGGAGGCGGTTACCATGGCAGCCTGCTCCCGACTTTCTCGCTGCTGTCTCCAAGCCCCCCCCCCAGAATCGCCCCACCCACTTGCAACCCCTCCCCCTCATCAGAAAAGAAAGCCAAAACATTCAAAAACAAGGACTAGTGAGAAGCTTGCTGTGGCAGTGAGGGGCTGGAAGGGAGCTGGAAGGTTTGGTTGAAGCTCATGTGTTCTCATTCTTTCCCAGAAGCAAAGGGGTCCCTCACTTCAACTCCCCACCACCCCACTAATGACTCATTTTGGATGGATGCCTCATTGCCTGGTCTGACAGTTCTTGGACCCTCCCATGCTTAGCCTTGTATTCAGTCATTAGGGCCAGGGCAGCGGAGAGAAGCAAAGGGCCACCCCCACCTTTATGCAGTTCATTTTCTGCCTTGACGGTTACTGAGTCCCCCCACTCAGCGCTCTCTCCTAGTCTTTGTGCTGTGCCTGCAGCCCCCGCGCCCAAGAATACCAAGCGGCTGGCTCTGGCCCCCTGCCCAGTTCCCAGGATGGCTGGTGGCAGGGGGAGGGGAGTTTAGATGTGGCTTTGGGAGTCTGGCAGGAAGGGGTTGCTACCCCTTCTTGCAACAACATCCTCCTGGCACTACCTTCAGCATGACCTCCCAGAGGGGGGCTAGACAAGGCCAGAGCTCATCTAGGCCTTTACTCTATCCCTCTTTCTTGATCCTAGGTGAGAAAGTACAGAACATTCAACCTTCCTTTTAGGAACTGTAGCTAAAACAGGAAGAAGGGTGGACCCCAGAGTGAACTTTCTGGATTTGATAAAATATAAAACTAGTAGCAAACTCAAAAAGGGCCTTAATGTCTCCAGTTAGTATATATTTCTTTTATAATTAGAAAATAAAGCATTAAAAAAATCAGACCATGCCACAAACAGTCCGTGGCTAGACCAAGGGGTAGGTACAAGGTAAATGACCTTACCACACTGAAGCTGCCCACAAATCATCCCAGCATTGGGCTGGGAAGGTGGCAGATCAAAGTGGGCTGGTTGATAGCCCCCCAACCCCCCTCATTTTCATCATTCTAGCCTCTACTTGCAGGAGAACAGAGGCAGAGAGGCATGGCTATCACACAATAAGAGGTGTGGACCCAGAAGTCCCCATTCCCAGCCCCCTGCCTGGACCAGAATAAACAAACCTCCCTTGGTGGCAGGCACCGTAACACAAACAGACAATAAGCTAGACAGCAGGGCTGGCAAAACCCTCACAAGAAACAGGCAGTCATAGGCACGCTCACTTGCACACCCAGGTGCAGCCAGACAGAAGGGCCCAGCGGTGGCCCTGCCCTGCCAGGCCGGGCCAGGAACAATGCTCTCTGACTGTCAGCACCAGGAACCATCTCCGCCTTGAAATCTAGGTCACAGCGGCAGGCGCTGGAGCCCAACCCCCCTCCTGATAATCCGAGAGCAGAAAAAGGGGTTGTAAGGGAGGGGGGTAGGGAAAGGGGTCTAGCAATGCCTATCAGGCTGGGGGATAGAGAGAGCTGAAAGAGAAAGGGTGGCATGGGAAGGCAACAAGAAGACCCTGCCCTGGTGGAGGAGACGCAGGGACTAAGCTGTCTAGAAAGAAAGGGCAGAATTTAGGGTCACACTGCTCTCTTCTCACATGGAAGAGGAGTTTGTAAATATGAGAGATCCTGTGGGAGGAGAGAGTGAGAGAGAGTGTGTGTGTGTGTGTATGTGAGAATCTCTTGGGAGGAGTTAAAATGTAGGGCTCTGAATCTAAAAGATCTACAAGGGAGGTGGGCGGGAAGGGATCAGTGTGTGTAACACACCTACCCACAAAGGCTGGGGGCAGTAGGTAAGAGCTTTCTAAGAGTGAGGCAGGTACAAGGAGGTCCCCAAGAGAGGTGGGGAGTGGAAATGTTAAAAGTGGCAGGGGAGAACTGTGTGCCAGGATCCCATGTATGGGTGCTGATCCCCGGGTGTGGGTCCAGGAGCAGGGAGGAGGCTGTGGGTGTGTTTGGATGTTCTGGTTAAGGGAGGCGTATGTGTCGGCACTGCATGTGTGGCTGTGAGTGTACGTGGGATGTGTTTGTGTGTGAACCAGAGGAGAGTATGTGTAAGAAGGTATATAACCATAGGCTTACATCCAGAGGGATGCGGGCAGAGCCTACAGAATGGAGGAAGGGAGCTGGGGTTGAGAGAGGTAGAGACTGAGGCTGCAAATACTTGGGGGGGGGGGGTTGGGGGGCAGAGCGAGGGGATGAAGAGAGGGAGCACACAGAGTCCGCAGCAAGAAGGCTGCAGCCTCAGCTCAGCTGTTACTATAGCAACGTCAGTTCTGGATGCCCCCCCCCCCCCCCCCGCAGTCATCAGGACAATAACACCACTGGATGGGAGGGGTATGGGGAGTGGTGAGTAAGAAGGGACAGAAAGGATAGAAATAGGGCCCCCTGAGGGAGCAAGGAAAAGCATTCTGGTTACTTCCTTCTCTGGAGAGATTCCATTTGTCCAGGCCTGGGTGTGGTAGCAGGGATAAGAGCAGAAGAGTTTAGGGGGAATTTTGGGGATATGGACAGGTGGAATATCCTTCCCTGGCTCTCAAGTCTCACGGATCAACTACTGTCCCTGGACTGGGCTGGCCATGGTGGGACTTGGCAGAACTTGGCTCCCCCAGCCTCCATGTCACGCTCCTCACCAGAGATTCAGAAGACTTCAGGGCCTGTGAGGAAGCCTTCTGCCTCCCCAGCTCTGAAAAGCCACCCTGATCTCTGAAGCAGCACAGAGGGCTGCCCAGAAAACACCAGGCAGACTGGGCGGAGGCCATTCTCAGGACAGGATACCAGGGCAGGGACCGGGAACCGGAGCTAGAGCTGCAGGAAGTCAGTCCCCTTCCCTCCCAGCTCATTCTGTGCTCTGCTCACTGCTTCCTCACACCTTCCTTCCCCCATTTCCTTCCTCCCCTTCCTTCCAAGCTGACTCCAGGAGGAGCCCTGACAAAGGTGGAGCAGACTGATGATGCTGGGGAAAGGGGGCAGGGAGTGTTGGGAGGACGACAGGTGGGTGCTCTTTGAGCCCCGGAGCAGGAACAGGCAGGCCCTAGGGGTGCTTTGAGAAGCTGGGCAAAACTAGGAAAACTACCTGTGGAGGAGGTGTCAGCACCAAAGGAATTTCTGTGCATTTTGACATTAATTCATGGTAGATGATCATCTCTTCCTAGCATTTAGTTCCAAATCCTCAGTAAATTTAACAAGTGCGAAGGAAGCCTGAGGATTAGGAGGTGCTGCATCCCCTTCCTGCACATCTGCTGCAGCTGCCTAAGGCTGAGGGGCGGGGCCATACCACACAGCTGCGAGGACCTGGAGGTCCCTATAATGGGCAGGAAGGGACTCCCCAGCATTCAAGTCTGTCCGTCTTGTTGCCTGAAGTTGGGAGAAGTAATGAAGGAGAGGCAGAGGCATGGGGAAGGGAGGGAGAGTAGGGTTCCAGCTAAGTGACGTCTGGACCACAAATTCAAGCAATTCCATAGTTTATTTCCTTTAATATACTCGACTGACTTTGTCCCTAAGCTTCTATCTAGCGTGGAGCTTAGGGGAAGGATCATCTTTATTCCTGTAAGGAATGAAGAAGAGGGCTCTGAAGCTTCAGGGTCAGTCAGAGTGGGGGAAGGCAGGACATCTGGGCCCCAAAATGTTCACGAAGCAAAATGGGTTACCCCTGGGCATGCGGACAAGAGCTTTCGGGGGCACCAGGAGACAGCTGATGATGGATCAGGCAGGGAGAGGGGGCTGCCTGAGGAGGAGGAGGCGGGTAGGGCCTGCGACTGCCTCGTCCATCTATCTACACTCCCTGCTCCTATTTCTGTCTCCTCTCTCTGGCTCTTCTTTCTCATCTATTTCTTCCCCTTATGCTTTCAACCTCTCTTTTCCTAGTTTCCCTTCAATGGGCTTTCATCCCCTCAAGCTTTTCTTACCCATCCCACTTGATGGTGGCCATGAATCCTTAGGACTCCTGGCTTCTGTTACTCGGGGTCCCCATGGGACTACTTAGAGCCACTGTTAGGAAGGGGTTTGAGTCCCTGCTGTGTGTGGTAGAAGGGGCCTGCAGATGCAGTGGTGGACTGCCTACTGGCTGGTGGAAGTGCTCACCGTGACATGCGTGAGAGAGAGGCACTGTGCGATTCTGTGTGACCCACTTCTTCATGCATGACAGTACATGCACACGTGTTGGGCACAGGTGCCGCCAAAGTGAGAAAGCAGACAACCAGGGAAGCCAGCAGCCTAAGGCATTGCTGGCAATCTCTTCAACAGAGTGTTTAACCACAAAGGGAAGAGCAATTAAAGCAAATCGCTCTGACAGCCTGGGGGCCAGACACACACCAAACAAGACATACATATTCAGCATGTTCCTCCTAACCCTCTGTTTCCTCCTCCCCAGTTTCTGAGCCTCTTTACCCCACTCTCCAACACTCTTTGCACACCTCTGACCATCTCTCTTTCCCTGGTTCCATGCCTGTATCTCTGTCCCTTTCTCCATATTTGTCTCCTCATAGACATTCCTCTCATTCTCTCTCTCCATCCTTGGCTGACTCATTCTTTTTTTCCTCTCCCTTTCTCCCACTCCCTCCCCCATCTCTTGGCCACTATGAAACCTAGAAACTAGCCACTTCCAGCCCCCTGAGCTCTAACTGTACCCAGCAAGAGGGACAGCCAGACGCCCCTACCCTCCCTCCCACCCAGCCAAGAGCACTGGACCATTAGCCTTCAAGATCCTGTCTCCTTGTCCTAGAGGTGAGAGACCAGGGTTTTCCCTCATCTCTTCTGTTTAAAGAGTAGTAGTCTAAAATCCAGGGCTGGGTTGGGGCCAGTGGCCCCCTCCATCCACTACTCAGCTGTCCTGTCATACTGGCATCTTGGGGCCCACAGTCCAGAAGGCTCCACATGGGAGCGAGTGGGGTTGTGGATGTGTGTGATTTGGCGTGTGTGAGGCGATGTGTGTAAGAGTCACATGGGTGTGTGTCACTGTGTGTGCTGGCTGTCTCTTGTAGGTGTGCGTGTGCCCCTGTCAGTTTCGACACGAACTGTAGGGAATTAATTAGGGGTTTTACGTTAGAGACATCACTCCTCTACACCCCCAGCTCCTTCCTCCTTCCCTCGGGACAACCTTTGCCAATCCCACCTCTTCCCCAGGTGCGGAGAGCCGGCGGTGAGGGCACACGCGGCCGGCGGCCGGCTGCCCGCGGAACTGAGGCGGGGCCGGGCCAGGAGGCGGCCGGCCGGCGGGGGCGAGTCCGGCCGGGGCCGCGAGGGAGGGGCGGGAGCTGGCCCGGCCGAGCCGGCTGGGCGGGAAGCAGGCTGCATCCTAGTTCCCAGGCCCGGGTCCGACTCCAGACTGCCGCTCAGTGGGGAAAGGGTGGCCCAAGCCACGCCGCCCGCAGCACACGCTCGGCGCTCGGGACGCACCGATTGAGAGGACCCGTCCGGGGTCCCCACGCTCCCCTGCCTGTCCGCCAGCGTCCCAGATGGTCATCCCTTCAAACCCAGACCCAAATCTGCTCCCTCCCCGCGACACGTCTCCTCTCCGCCCCTCTCACCGCCTCCAGAGCTGAGCGCTCAGGGAGCGGGCGCTCCGGGGTCCCCGGTTCCTGAGCAGCGTCCGGAGCCTCCTCCTCGGCTGCTGCCGCTGCTGCCGCCGCCGCCGCCGCCGCCGCCTCTTCCGCCCGCGGAGCCGGAGCCCGAGCCCAGCGCCGCCTCACCCCACCCGGCTGGCCGGTGATGTCAGAGCCGGGGAGGGGCGGGGGGCGGGAGCGGCGGAGGAGGGGGCGGGGAGGGGAGGCCGGAGGGGCGGGGGACCGAGGGGCCGGGGTTCTGGAAGGCTCCTAGGACTGGGGACGGCATTGGGCGGAGGGCCGGAGTAGGGACAGCTCCTGTTCTGCCTAAACAATTCTCAGGCTTCATTCTTTCACAGTGGGATCCCCCTCCTCCCCTTGTGACCGTTAGGTGACCACCTTGGCTGGGACCCTGGGAGGTTTAGGAATTTGGAAGGCCTTTGACCTCTGCTTGCTTTGGTATTTGAAAAAAGGTCTTTCCCCAAGCCTGGCGGTGAGGCACTGGTAGTAAACGATCAGATTTACTCGCATTGGGTGTGGGGGATGGGTGAACGGTAGCATGGGGCCCTCCTTGACTTGACCTGGAAGCCCCAGGCCATTGACGGCAGCGGCCCCCTTGTTTTCCTCTCACCTTTCCCCAATATGCACCCCCCTCCTGCCATCCCCCACCATGATGTAATTTTATTTTCTGGGGAGAAAAAGAACAGCAGTGAGCTCAGCATGCAAATATAGACAACTTACAAAGCCGCACTTAGCTTGCCTCCTCGCTCTGTCCCTCTACCCAGGCCTAGCCTGGTAGCTCTCACTTCCCTTTCATCTCAGGGACTTTCCTCCCCCAAATTCTCAGCCATACTGAAAGAGGGAAGGGAGAATTGGGGAAGCAGCTGTTTTCACCCCCAAGGCCAACTCTGATATGGTCTAGTTCTTGGAGGAGGCCCAAGCACCCCCAGTGTTGGTACCACCTCTGGGGACACCCCCATCTTGCCTCATTTCCAGCCTGGCAGAGACCCTTAGGTCTCCACCCCCCTGGGAGAGGCTCAGGCTCCTGCTGCCTTGAGTTTCCCAGCTCTTTGCTCTTCCTCTCTCCCAGGTTGCCCAGTCAGGGACCCTTTGATAGTAAGGCACCCTCCTAAATGTGTCTGTCAATGTTGATCTCCCTTGCTGTCTGTCGTAGGGCCATGCTGTTTCGTTGACCCATCTTTGGAGGCTCAGATACTAGATGACTTCCCCATAGACACGTAGTGTGCAAGTGCAGGGCTCAGTTCTCCTGAGGGCAACAACGGGCATGAGGGCTCCGTGCTGGCTGCACTCCTTCTTTGGACAAGTTATGCCCCAAGCCTCCAGGTCTTTACCAGTATGGTGGGGATGCCAGTGCCTTCTAAGAGTTAATGCTGAGAGCGAGACAGAAATACCCCATCCTGCACTTCATACCCCAGGTGCCCACCGTAGCTGAGGCTGGGCTAGACTGAAGCCAGGAATTCAACCCAGGTCTCCCACGTGGGTTGCAGGAACTCAGTCACCTGCTGCCTCCCAGAGTGAGCATTGGCAGGAAACAAATTGGGGGCAGAGCTAGGACTTGAACCCAGACACTTCAGTATGGGATGTGGGTGTTGCAAGCAGCGTCTTAAACACTGTGACAAATACCTGTCCCACCACCAAGCCTATCTTACAGGGTTCTTCTGAGATTCAGAAATAGTAAGTCTCTAGGGGCTGACACAGATGACTGCTTAAAAAACAGGAGTTGGGCCCGCGCTGGGGCGTAGATGGTAAAGCCACCACCTGCAGTGCTGGCATCCCATATGGACACTGGTTCAAATCCCAACTGCTCCATTTCTGATCCAGCTCTCTGCTCTGGCCTGGGAAAGCAGTAGAAGATGGTCCAAGTCCTTGGGCCCCTGCACCCAAGCTCCTAGCTCCTGGCTTCAGATGGGTGCAGCTCCAGCTGTTGCAGTCATCTGGGGAGTGAACTAGCAGATGGGAAAGATCTCTCTGTTTCTACCCCCCCTCTAGGTTACTCTGCCTTTCAAGTAAAATAACTAAATCTTTAAAAATAACAATAAATGGGTACCACCAGTTGGATGAGTGCATTGTTTCTATTCTGTCCACTCCTGCCACCTCCTCTAGGAGCACTTCCTGGATTTGTCTGTGGTGAGTGAAAACTTTTCTAACCTCAGGCTCTGTTTTTTCCATGCTTACAAATCCTCTAAGTTCCCCAGCAACACCTCTACTCCTGATCCATGAAAAATGTAGTGTCCATTATTTATGAATTTGTTCAGCTGCTTGGTTCTCCCTCCCCCTTTGCAAGAGAGACTGGCTCGTTCCTGCAGGCCCAGGTCTGGGGGTACCACTGTGCAAAACTCACTCTGTGTCCGTTCCTGTCACCATGGTGACAGGTTCTCATGACTTCAGTCTGATTATTGTAACAGTCTCTGAGTATGAGTTGGACCCCTTGCCTCTGGCATCTCCATCATCTCCCCTCATATCCATCCTTGCCATCGCTACCACATTCAATGTTTCCTGTCCTTCCCAACTTGCAAGATTAAATTCAGATACCACTACAATATTCAAATACCACCACAAATACCAACCCCATTATGCCACCACAAATACCAACCTCATGGCCACAACTTCCATTTCTCTTCTTGTCTCTGATCTCTGCGCCCCCAATCTGACAAGGACATCCTGCCCATGCTTTTGATGTTTCCACTGACTGACATGTTCCCTCCTCAGCTCTTTTTGCCTCCAACCAAATCCCACTCTTGAACATAAGGCCTAGAAGGTGCTCACTTCCTTCGTGAAGCCTTCAGGCCTGCTCTGATCTCTCTCTTCTAAGTCTATCCTGTTCTCTCACTTATTCCTCCTTCTTTTTCTCCTTTAATTTACTTATTTGAAAGTCAGAGTTATAGAAAGAGGGAGGGAGAGACAGAGAGATCCATCTGCTGCTTAACCCCCCAAATGGCCACAACAGCCAGGGCTGGGCCAGGCCGAAGCCAGGAGCCTGGAGCTTCTCCTGGTTTCCCACATGGGTGGCAGTAGCCTAAGCACCTGGGCCACCACCATTGCTTTTCCCAGGCCATCAGCAGGGAGCTGGGCTGGAAGTGAAGCAGCTGGGACTCGAACAAGCACCCATATGGAATGCGGGCAATGCAAGTGGTAGCTTTAATCCCTAGACCACCACACTAGCCCCCCCCCCTTTATTTTAACATTTATTACAGGTGAATTGTTGAGTGGTTGGCCCTATGGACACAAAAAAGACCTGGGTTTCTGCCTTCCAGAGGCTCACGGCTTCCTGGGGAAGACAGGTGTGTACATGAAGGCCGACCACAGGATGTTTTCAGTGCTGGAGCGGTGGTGTACGTGGAAAGGGCAGTAGGGACTCCGAGCAGGGACCCTCAGGGAGGGCCACATCGGGAAAGGCCTCACCGAGGAGGAACAATTGGGACTCAGTCTTCATGTTCAAATCAAAGTTACAGGGAGGATGCTATCGAGCAGCACGTAATCACTTAATTACATACTGCTTTGTATTTTTCTGCAGTTGTTTAGTTTGCTTGTCTTGACTTCTCAGTGAGACTAATCAGCTCAAGAGCAGGGACAGGCCCAGCACTCCCCGTTCTCCCAGAGCCTAACAGCAGCCTTGGACGTGGACAAGGACCATGTGTGCAGAAGAGGCTTGTTGACTCAAAGCAGATACATAATCCAGGCTTTCCTGGGATAACTCCCTGCAGGGAGCCCTACCCCCCTAACTCATTCCTACAAGGCACCTGTACCTCAAGCCCCTGTCCTCGGGCCACTTTCCTCCTGCCAAAGGGGTGAGACTTTATTAACAGACACTTGCTCATGCTGCCCCAGATCTTTTTATTAAGGCCTTGCATTTGACCCAAATACATTAACGAGAGATTACTGTGCTACAGCCCCAAACACAGTGCCCTCCCTTCCTCCTGGCCAGGGTCAGGGCACTGAGAGGATATAGGATTGGAGAGAGGAGGAGAAGGCTGTGCATTGATGAAGGGGAAAGAAGGGGGGAAGGGCCCATAGCTATGCTAAGAGGAGCATCATGAGGGAGAGTGTGGGGAGCAATGGAAGACACAGATAATAGCGACAGGTAAGTTATGGAATAAGAATCAAGGGTGAGAGCTCGGCTGGGATCTAGGGAAAAGTCGCTCCTTTCCTCATCAGCTGAGGGGGATCAAGGTCTCAGCACCCAGCCTAAGGACCCCAGTTGGCCCAATGGCAGAGAATGACCAAGTGTCCCTCGAGGAGCTCAGGGAAGGACAGGAAGGTAGGAAGGAGTTGAGGATAACAGGTGGGGCTGGAAGGCAGCTGCCACAGCAACTAGTCATCGTCATCGTCGTCATCGTCTTCGTCGTCGTCGTCCTCTGTGTTGATCTCACCCTCCAGCACGTCCTCCAGCCAGTCCTCCAGCTCCTCCGCGGAAGGCAGGTCCTCCTCATCGTCCATCTCCATCCACACACTATCCGCCTGGAGGTGGCAGCGTGGGGGACAGAAGCTAAGCCGACCCAGGGCTTTGGGGCTGCCCTTCCACTCCCTGTGCTCTGTACCTCCTTCCTTACATCCTCTGTCCCTTCCTTTCATCTGTCAGTGGCCAAGAAAACTGTCCCAGGGGAGGTCTAGGTTAGCGAAGTGACAGGTGGGAACAGAAAGAAAAGCTGGATCAGCCAATGGGCCTTCTCCCTTCCTTCTGTCTCCCCTGCTCCTGCGATACCCAGCTTCCTAAAACAGAACTCTCCATCATGCCCTTGGTGCACAACCATTCATGGCTCTTCATAGGCAAAAGAAGAAAGTCAGCAATTTGTCAGCATGCAAGGCTTTTTATAACTGCCTCTGCCACCTTCAATGATCTCTAGACTCCCAAGCCATAAAAAGCTACTTTCCTTTTCCTGAACCTGATACTCATTTTCCTACTTTTGGCCTTTTGATCTTGCTTTTTCCTCAGCTTGAAATGACTTCCCCTAATCACCACTTGTTGAAATCCTGCACACTGTATAATCTGCATCTCAAATGCCACTTTCTCAAACTCTTCTCTGATTATCTCAAGCATAAATCACTTCGATTTCTGTGCCTTCTTGGAATTTTTCAAAAAAATTTATCAGATTCAGTCCTGTTAATAGAATACCCTCTCCCATCATTGGAAT